AACTTTAATTTAACAGTTGAACACACTTTTAATCAAAAAGGGAAATCACTTCATACTTTTGTTGAGGACCGGCAAAAAAGACCTAATGAATGTGTTGTCAAACCGCAACATTTTTAATTAAAAGCTCAAACAGGTTTTTGTTTATGGTGTGACCCGTTGTGTTAAATTTATCAATTTATTGGTCAAAAGATTGCTTTCAGTTCGATTAAACAAAAAAAGCCAATTTATATTAAAATGTATGTTACGGTCAAAGAAAATGAACTAATTTAAGCGTTGTAACAATAAATATAAAAAATATGTACATTATATCTTAAAATTAGGTAAGGATTTTGTCAGAATCCCCGAATATAATATACACCAAGTATCCTTCTATGTATGGTTATCTTTTTTATTTGAAGAGATATTAAAATATTTCTGGATATTGTCTTTATACGCAGTAAACTACTTTACTAAATAGTTTTAGGCCTTAGAGTTGCATCCTTTTTATGAGTTTTCAAATATTGCAATTTATCCAAAGTCGAGTATTTTTAATCTAAAATATTTTAGAACACAATTTAAAGATCCAAAATTATTTAAAAAAAAAAATTTATTGTGTTGTAAAAAGTGGTTACTATTTTATCACTAAACTTTATTAGTTTTTTAGTTAGAAATTAAAAAAAAACAAAATATTCAATTTGACTAAAATCTGAAATGTCTCGAAAGGAACACATTTAATAATTAAAAATTTTCAGTAAACAATTGCCAAAATTTCAAGAAATGCTATAACTTAATTACATTGCTTGTTCTAAAAATTTAAAAAGACACAGTATGTTAACTTTTTGACCCATCATCAATTAAAAAAATTTATTTTATTTGGTGAAATATAGGGATAGAACCTTAAGTAAATAGTATTTTTATGGAAAATTTAGGCTTTAAGTTAGTAATATAAAAATAAAATGGCTACATAGCTATATAGCTTATGCATAAGTTGTATACAACTATGGGAAGAGATAACGAAATAAATAATTTTCCAATAAGAAACATGTTAAAATCAAAATGTACAGCTGGAATTTTAACTAAATTTTCATGTTATAGTAAACAAAACGATATCGGTTTTTTAACACCCTAATATATGTACTAATAGATGTCTCCGGATTGACTTTACAAGAGAAAAAACAATATTTTTTATTTTTAGGAGAAAACTTATTCATGATTTATGCATAATAAAAACTCTTGCTTGTTTAAAAAATGAGATTCCTATAAAAAAGTTTTATATTTTTTCTACTCCCACCTTTAAAACGCCCTTTATCGTACATGTTTCCATGACACTAAGTGAACTTTTAAATACACATTGACAAGTTGTGGCTTTATGGCGCTTTAGTCACGGGCTGAAGTTTTTAATTATAATTAAAAACTATAGTTGACAGTTGTCAAATGTCATACAATCGTTAAAATAAAGTGCCTTTTTTGTAAAATAATACTAAATGTGAAAATTATTTTATTATTTCAATACAAAAATTCAAAAGTATTAAATAGTTTCTAAACGCCAATATTTGAAAAGTTTATATGAACATTGTACTGACCTTTTAGTTTCGCCGGCAGTAAACTATAACTTAAATTCGGGCACGGACTCCACTGTAAAGTGCTCATAAAACATTTCCTTTACTTTAACTGTGAAAAACTGTCAATTTCGATTTATAACTTTTATAATTGTGTTTATAAAATGTAAAAATGTGAATCTGAATGTGACATTTGACAGTTTCCCCTGTTGTTTCATAGATGGCGCTCTATACAAATTTTTGATTTAAATCATTTTAAGATAATAATAAGTATTTGTCGTAGAAAAAGTATAGTATGCACCTCGTTTATAAACTTTTCTATACACTCATTAATTTAAGCACTCGCTCGCAAGCTCGCTCGTGCCTAAATTAAATTCGTGTATAAAATGGAGTTTATCAAACTTGATACATAATATACTATTATCTACAGTGTCAAAAAAAAACTTTTTTCTACTCCCACCTTTAAAACGACTATTATGGTACATGTTTTCATGACACTAAGTGACCTTTTAAATACACATTGACAAGTGCCTTTCTTTTAAAATAATACTAAATGTGAAAATTATTCTATTACCTCAATACAAAAATACAAAAGTATTAAATAGTTTCTCAACTCAAATATTTGAAAAGTTTATATGAACATTAACTTAAATTCGGGCACGGACTCCACTGTAAAGTGTTCATAAAACGTTTTTTTTTTCTTTCACTGTAAAAAACTGTCCATTTTCAAGAAATACATTTCGATTTATAATCTATATATATATTGATAAACTATAAAAATTGGAAATTTGACGGTTGACAGATTCCCCTATTGTTTCATAGATGGCGCTCTATAAAAATATTTGATTTAAATTATTTTGAGATAATAAGTATTTGTCGTTGAAAAAGTATAGTATGCACCTCGTTTATAAACTTTTCTATACACTCATTAATTTAAGAACTCGCTCGCAAGCTCGCTCGTGCCTAAATTAAATTCGTGTATAAAATGGCGTTTATCAAACTTCATACATAATAACTATTATTTTTAATTTTTTTGAAAAGTTGTATAAGAAAAAGTTTGTAATTAAAAATTTAGTCTAAACAAAAACTACGAAGAAAATAAATAAAGATACTTTTATTTTGAATCGATTTTATGTTTTCCTAACTTTTATACCCTTTAGACAATATCTTAAATTTTACTACGTGATGGTATTTTTGTGACAATCAAAACATTTTATCATCTAGTCTCGATCCTGGAAAAAATCGAATTTACAATTTCCGTCGTAATTTTTGAATTCAGGCCTAATTTTGTATTACAAACATTTTTTCCAATTGAACTTAAAAAAAAAATAAAATAAAGGTACCCACTTTCCTTTTGGATACATTTTATGTTTTCCAAATTTTTAAACACCCTGTAGATAAAATCTCAATTTTTTTTTCTTGGAATCTTAGTCTTTAAACAACCAGTGGTAATTTTTTTTTTAATTATAAAAGAAGGTACTAAGTACTTCCCTCTTGGATCGATTTTATGTTTTTTTTAAATTTTGCCTTGAAGATAAAATCTGTTTTTTATGGGAATCGCATTTTTTAAACAAACAAGATTTTTTATTAAGTTTTCTTCGTCAATCGTCAATCCGGGGACATACTGTAGATTAGGGTGTCCGTTACTTACCAACTTGTTTTTTTTGTTCGCAGCGCCCCCTAAATTTTGTGGCTTTTGGGCATTTTAGTCACGGGCTGAAATTAGCTTTATTATATATTAGAGAAAAGTGAGGCTAATTCCGTTGACATTTGACAGATGTCAAATGTTTAACAAATATAATTTCTTTTTTGTGTTCGTCGTAGATAAAGTATACTTATACTTAGTATGCAACTCGTTTTATAAACTTATCTAGACACTCGTTTTTAATAAGCTTCGCTCGTGCCTAGTAAAACTCGTAACTAAAATAGCGATTATACAACTTGATACATAATACCTATACTATTATATAAAAGATGCCACAGACGATGGGTAATTGACCTACTTCAAACTTCAACTTTGCGACACGAAATCTGTGAAGTGCGACTTCTGCCTTCTGTGGTCAAAGTACCAAATCGTACTTTAGTGCGCATGCGTAACTACAAATTTTATTTTTTCGTAAAAATAATTGCTAAAAGAATTTCCACGTCATTAGCTACAGCTGAAATTTTTCATTGTAATAATATTTCATAAAAACGTATAAAATTTTGTAAAATTTCACAGAAATAAAAAGATTATGTAAAAAAAGTACCTAATCGTACCAAATTTGAGTAAAACTAGTACCAGATTCTTTTAATGTAATAAAAAAATTTTAATTTATCGGAATCTCTTATCAATAATTTTACTTTTTCAATAATACAATAATAGTAGATTATGTCATAAGGAGTAGAAGTGACTCTTTTTGTGGTGAGTACAGAGATTGGCGGCCGAAGCGTAGCTGAGGCAGGCAACTGTACAAAGCACAAAAAGAGCTTCTACTCCAAATAACATATACAATTTTTTTTCAAGGGCGTAATATAAATAGGATAAGCAATAGAATTATTTTATTTACTCATAACTTATGTGGTATAAAATTTTGGCTAAAAGCATTATAAATTATTGTTAAAAACTAAAAAAACGTATAACCCTTACTTACAATGCCGATAAATATCCTAAACTAAAAATAAACACTGCTCTGTCAAAATGCTGGGCTTGAATTAATTTTGACGTACTGACATTTGTTTGGAGTTCCGACATTGGCGACTCGTCTATCATCATAATATTATACTAATAAACTAGTTGTTCTTTGTTTCGTTCAATTAAAATTTAATAAATAATCACTAAATATTCCGTGCGATTATAATTAATATAATTAATACATCGTGATTGCTTTGTATGAAATGCTAAATTAATTTTATTATTTGACGTCTATTGAGACACCTATGGATTTACTTCTATCCCTAGGCTTTTTTGAGTTTTTTGTCTGCCGCTAATGAAAAAGACGCACTTCAACTATCTCTATACAGGCATATAAGGTTGTATATCATGGCCGCTTTAAAAAAAAATCACATATTTTCAAAAATTAACAATTTATTTTCATAAAAATAATGATAATTTTGCAGTCAAAGTAAAAAAATCGTTCAAGTTAAATTTTAACCTTAAATAAATAACTTTTAAACCAGTCAATTTATCGAAAAATCATAAGAGAGCTTTTTTGTACAGCGTTCAATTTCCTATAAAAATATGTATATTAACTTGCTCGGGAGAAAAAAAATAAATGTAAAACTTGCCGAAACCCCATGTTATTTTAAATTGTGGAACGGTTTAATATGAATATTTTTTTATATTTTTTTTAGGTCATAAACTAAAAATTTAGGGTGCGCTGGGAACAAAAAAACCAAGTTGGTAAATAACGGACACCCTACCGTAGATATTTATTTTTATATTAGTATCACAGTCAGTTTTAGAAAGGATTGGATTCCTACCTTCTGAAGAAAGTATTTTGAAGCTCATATTGAACACCACAAGTTCCTTTTCGACGTACTCCATGTCTAGGGGATAGAAACAGGTTTCCGAAACGACCAGCAACGTTTCGGGGGAGGGAAAAGGGTTGATGGAAGGTGCAAGAGGTAGTTGGGAAGCCGCCAGTGAAGATGAGACTAGAACGCAGGTCAGCAACCCCGTGAGCAGCGGGCCTGCCATGACAGCCTCTTCAGCGAGGCATGACACCACGTGCCGCGCACCCACCTAACTTTGTCGCGACATCTTCGATCGTCACGACGGTTTTAAAATCGCGTTTGATATGGACAATTATCTGAAATAAAACAAATATTTTACATTTATATATATACACAGTAAAAAAATATTTTAGTGTTCTCCCAGGTGAAAATTGTAAAGTGAAAAAGTTTGTGTAAAACACTATTTTCAATCCTAAAATATATTTTTTCGTCCAAATGCGATGGAATGATAGTAGTGTTCCACATCAATCTAACTTTACACTTAAATATACATTTAAGCCAAGCTCTGGCAGTGCACATTATTGTAAATATTGTAGCGAGTACGGCTCTGGATCTCGGAATGATGACTCAGCGCTCGAATAATCGAGAGTGTGGAGCTCGCTGGAATGTTCCAGAAGACGTAGGCGCTGAATATATAAGGAACACAGACAATAAGGAACGACGCATCATGGATAGTCACTTTTTGTACTCGCGTCTAAATAAATAAATATAAGTGCAAATAAATAGACTCTTGAACAGTAGTGATATATAAATAATTAGTAGTTAAGTGTTTAGTTAAACTATAGTGTTTTAAGTGTAGTTAAGTTATAATATTAAATAGTTTAGTTCGATAATTTAACCAGGGCGTGTTTTAATTCACACTACGAACAGTAAAAACGTTATATTGGTGTCAGGAGTGCGGTTGGTGTGAAATTTCGCGAAAATGGTTTCGTTAATGGACTTAAAAGTGGCGGACCTTAAGCGGGAGCTAGAAGAAAGAGAATGTGAAACAACTGGAAAAAAGAATGTGTTGCAGCAGCGGCTTCGAGAAGCGTTGGAGTTATTAAATAAATAGTTTAGTTCGTTAATTAACCAGTGCGTGTTTTAATTCACACTACGAACAGTAAAAACGTTACAATATGCAATCAGCGGGTGTTCAGTTGACAAAAACGCAAACTTGTTTCGTTCATTGTTCTCTCAGAATTTGTGTGGGAAGAATGCACCAAGTTGTTTAGTTGTTTAGTTGTGGTTTATTATTATTAACTAAAGGTAAATCAATTTCAATTGCATTTTGTTTGTTTGTCGAAAATCGCGTTTTGTACAATAGTACAGACAAATTTCAAGTACAGTTTTTACAATACCTCAGTTTAATATATATAATAAGTAAATCGTTTTTTTTTTTAATTTTTAAATGTTTTTCCTGAGAGTAAAACATGTCCATGATGACAAGTTTAATAAAAACTTTAGCCAAAACCTTAGCAGTGCGATACCAGATGACAACTTTAGCACTGAATTTCAAAGATGACCTTCAAAGTTTTATTTTATCACTGCAAAAATTTGGTATATAATTATATAGAAGAATTTCCCGATTCGATAGGAATTTTAGTCACAAAATGGGTAAGAATGGGTTACCTGTATAAAACTACGAGATTTTAGGCTTGCTTTAGAAAGAGCCATAGAATTTACACCAATCTAACAGTGTCAATTGGTACTTTGTGCCAAAATATTATTTGGTGTTTTGAACGTATTAATATTTTAAGTAATTGCCAAAGATTAGTTTTATATTTTGTAGCGTAAAACTCACAATGGACTGTATTTACGTATTTATATAAAGTAATTGCCAAATATTGTAGTTTAATTTTTTATAAATTAAAACTTACAATGAACTGTATTTTTATATAAAAATAAATTTTATTTGTTTTATATAAACATTATTTAAACACCCCAGCAGCTCTAATTTAAATTTAATAATATTATTTGATTATTTAATTTCATGCCTAAATTTTTTTAACATGTGGGTAATATGTTTTTTGCTTACGCATGTCGAATCCAATCGGGCCCCCCCTAGCCGGGGGCCCCGTATCATTGATACGGCAAATACCGCGGTAGCTACGCCCCTGGATGAAACATCATTTCGCAAGATTATAATTCGGTTTCCATCAAAGCAAACAATGTAAAGCTATTAACAAAACGAAATGGGAAAAGGAGATTATTACCTTTTATGTTGTACACATTGAAATAAATTCGTTTGCATTTACTAAAACAACTGTACAGGGAAATAAATCGACATGTTCTTTTTATTTCGATTTTGATATACAAACCCAACCCAACCCTAACTCTTATAAGAGTTTTTGAAATATTTCATAAAAGTTAGAAAAGTAGGACAGTTTTTGAGATATAGTCAATTTTCAATGGAATTGACTATATCTTAAAAACTGCTCTACTTTCATAATTTTTGACGGCGTTTTCGGATTCAGGGGACAATTTAATTTAAGAATTGGCTGTTAAATGTTGGGGATACCATGGTATCCCATGCTTAACCATGGTATAAGTGAGAAAGCAGCCACTAATAACTGTAGTAACTAGTCATTTTTGACTAAGTCATTTTTAGAGAGAATACCTTGCAAAAAATGCAATTTCGTTAAAAAATTAAAATTCGTTTACAAATTTGCGAGTTAGAGCCAAAAAAGGTGTGATATTAATAAAAAAATAATTTATTTGATTTGTTTCCATTTACAATTAGCTTCAAAAGACGCAAAGAAATGCGGTTGCTCCCAATTTATAATGTATGGGTATTAGGGGTGTGCGAATAATTCGAATTTACGAATAATTCGTATCGAATCGAATATTATTATTCGATTCGAAATTCGAATCGAATAATTCGAATTAGCGAATTATTCGAAAGTTTCGAATCATTCGAAAAATCCACGAATTATTCGAAAATTTTCGAATAATTCGAAAATTTTTCGAATAATTCAAAAATTTACGAATGATCCGTGAATGGATGAATAATTTAAAAATTTTCGAACCCATCGTCAATTTTTTTGATATTTTTCGAATTTTGAGGTGTTCAAACTTTGAACATCTCAAAATTCGAAAAATATCAAAAAAATTGACGATGGGTTCGAAAATTTTTAAATTATTCATCCATTCACGGATCATTCGTAAATTTTTGAATTATTCGAAAAATTTTCGAATTATTCGAAAATTTTCGAATAATTCGAATTTTTCGAATAATTCATAAATTCGAATTATTCGATTCGAATTTCGAATCGAATAGTACTATTCGATTCGATTCGATTCGAACGCTATTCGCACACCCCTAATGGGTATTCTTGGCAACGAAATAGTTTATCAAAGAAATCTTGACTGGACAATCATACATGATCTTTTGGAATATGTTAAGACCCACTTATTACCCAGACCGAGAAAAAAGTTTTATTTCGATTGTGAACATAGAGATGAACCAATCAAATCACCAGAGTTTAATTTTTTTATTTATTTTTATCTTTATATTCTAGATATTGAAGTAGCTAAATTAAATGACAGATTTGACCAATTATACGAGTTCATCTGCTATTTTTGCTTTTTAAATAACTTAGGCTTTTGGTCTAAAAAAGTTGTATGGATTTACAAGTAATATTAACCGATTTATGCACCAAACAAATGGATCTTAATGCAATTGATTTGAGGAATAAAATTATTATTATTATTATTATTATTTTTAATGTGCTTTCAACAGGCACCAGGCCCAATTACAGAAGTACACAATGACAAATACAAATAAACAACCCCTGGTGGGATTCGAACCCACGACCTCTCGGCTTGTAGTCCGCAGTACTAACTACTACACCACCGAGGGCGGTAAAATTAAAGTATTGTGTCCAAAAAAGTTTTAAAATACCTTAATAATTTAAGAAGCACTCTTCCGAATTTATCTACAGCCCCACGAATTTTTTTAACGATGCCTGTCACTATTGCTCATGGTAAGAGATCGTTTTCAAAATTAAAAATAATTTAAGATCCACTAGCCAGAATGGACGAATACTTCAAGAAGCATCAATAATCTGCGAGGCGTCTTTAAAATTTAGAATTTATGTAGGTTAGTTCAAGTTAATGATCATAAGTACACAGTAAAAAAAATCAACTCTAAGCAACACTAATTAGAGTTCACACAGGTCCACATTAAATAGTGTTGTTTTATAACACTACAATAATTATAATTATTAGAGTTAATTTGTAGTGTAATTTTCGCCAAGTAAGCAAGTACTATAACACTGAGGAATCCTCAGTGTTATAGTACTTGCTTACTCAGTGAGGATAAAGATATTTTACACTGTATTAAAAAGTGTTAATTTACCTAAAATCGTGTACTTCTACACTTCCTGGGTAAAGTCCCACTTTTGTTCGGTGTAAATTAACACTACTTTGGAAAAGTCCTAATTTTAGAAAGGTACTTTTACTCTTTTAGTGCAAACTTCTAGTGTAAATTAACACTATTATTTGAGTAAAACCTATTGGTGGTAGTGAATAAAACGAAAACGTAAATAAAGAGAAACATTTATTTGGAACAAAAATCTATGACAATTATTAAAATCGGTGCCTTTTAAAATATAATTTTATATTTGAGTCGTATGGCTGGCTTAAGCAAAATGGTTCCTTAAAACGTAAAAGTTTTAGATCAATGCAATGTTTTACTGGCTGTCAACTTGTAAGCAATGAATTATCTTAAGAATTCATCAGTAATCCATTTTTCTGTTATAAAAAATGGGTGATCCCATTGGTAAAGAGGTGTCAGGCGGCTGTATGTCGGGGATTTACCACACGTGTACAAATGTTCCATAATATTAATAAAAATGTAGGTATAGGTTAATATAACAACAATTACGCTTGAAAATAAAAAGTAAATCAAGTGTGTATGTATTTAGATTATTAATGTTACAAGTACCCGACCAATTGCCGTCAATTATTGATATTTAATATAGGCCGGGTATGGACATCCTTTTAACATTTTGAGTTTTAAGGCTTAAAGAAAAAGGAAGTTTAATACTTACCAAAAATAAGAATGTCCCCTTATGGATTCACCGTAATTAAAATATAACTGAACAAAAATGCCACACTTCCACAACGCGGTATTTCCGGATATGCACTGCTTAGGTGGATAGGTACCACCCAAACATTTTAAAACGCATTTCGGTAATTACCAGTTTTTTCAGTCTATTTTGCCACTATTGGTGTAATTTAACTTTAATTGTGCTACAATGTGCACTAGTAGTGTAAAGAAAAAAGAGCTCTTAGTAACATCAAAACAGACAAA